CCTCATCCCCAACTCCTCCTCCGCCCTCCTCCTCCTACTCCTCATCCCTCCTCCTCCTCCTCCTCCTCGCTCGCTCGCAACCGAAGAACTATCTAAATAAACGAATCCCATTTCCGAGAAAAAGAAAGCGAATGCCATGCAAGCACAGGGCCGAAAAGGCCTACGACCCAAGAGGCTCAGGGAGGGGGTGATGGCCAGCGTTGTCGGAGCCCACAGCCCGTAGATCGTACGGGCCAACGGGGACGTAGAACGCCCGAGTGGGAGGAGTGGGCAGGGGGTCAACACTACACTCACTCCCAAGCTCAAAATACCTATAACCCAGTCTCCCTCATGAACGCATCCGCGAGAACTCTTAGCGTACGCCGTGCGCCACTCTCCCTCTGCCTCCTCCTCCTCCTGTGCCTTTCTCTCCTCATCCGCCTCCTGCTCAACCTCCCCCTCTTCTGTTGGCAGCAAAGCCTCATGCCCCTGAGAGAGTGCCTCAGCTACGGCCAGGAGCAAGCTGCAGCAGAGTAAATGATCAGCTGAGCTCACGACAGCGGGATGAACTCATCAAAATCAACTGGCATCCCAACTTTATAACCACCTCCTCCTCCTCCTCCTCCTCCTCCTCCTCCTCCGCCTTTTCCTCCTCCTCATGGACAATCTCACTCGGCCGAGAGGTCGCACGGAACACACCATCACACCACCATCCATCCGCCTCCCCCCTTTGGCTCTCCCCGCACACGCACGATTCCTCCAGCGATATGCAGCACGGTCGCGTCGCACGCCAGGGGGAGACGCAATCATACACTGCGTCGGCACGCATGGCGAGACTGATGAAACCCAGCCGTGAGGTCCTGGACTGGGGGGCGGGCAGCACTGCGTCATGACCCTACCAGCACACACACACACACACACACACACACACACTTATTCCTCGACCTCGCGGCTGAGCCCAAGCCGCGGAAGCGACGCAACGGGCCACGTTCGAGGCTCGCCGCGCGCGTAGCCGCATCGGATATCAAAAACCAGACGGTGCGAGAGGAGCCTCCCCGCACACGCACCTGTACCTCCTCCAGCGAGGCGACGGCACCCTCGCGAGTGATAGAAACGAGCGCGAGCCACCAAGCGGTGCAGGTGGGGCACAGCACAGGAGGCGAGCCGGCCGCCCCGCCCGTTCTTTTGTCCAGCGGCCGAGGGACGCCGCCACTGGGAGAGCTGCGGTGGGCCGCAGGCCAGCCGAGCTCCGCCCGGCGTAGCGAGCGGGTGGCTGCACGAGGCGAGCGCGCGCAGGCGCAAGCATCCGAGGCGGGCGGGCGGGCGGACCGCGCGTGCTCACGGCGCCGCTCGAGCGGCGCGGGAGGGCCTCGGCCGCCCCGGCACGCCACGCCCGGCAGGCCACCGCCGGGCTCAGCGGGGCACCCCGGAGAGACGTGAGGGGCCGAAGCTGGAGAGGGGGATGGGCGCGGGCCCCTCACGGGGCAGTGGCAGACAAGCGCGTTCCACCACGCGCAGAGGAGCCACACGTCGTCCATTCCTGATCGCGCTCATTCCCGATTGTGCTCGTTTCTGCCTGTTCCTGGCCCTCTTAGTGGCTAGGAAGAGGCCCGGGATAGAACAAATAGAAATGACAGGATCTGGCCCCCCCCAACAAAAATCAAAGAGCTTTCGAAGAATTAGAAACGAACAATGTGTACTCGCAAATGTCTCCTGGACCCGCCGCGGGGGACTCACGCTGTGCCACGCCGAGGCAAAGCATATGTTCTCTTTTTCGGACGCCTGCGCGCAGGGATTCTGCGAGCAGCGGAACGCGCTCGGTGCAGAGGCAGGGCGGGGCCGCGCGACAGGGAGGCAGCAGAGCGCCAGAGGGGCCGGCGGGCGGGGAGGCGGCGGCGGGGAGGCGGCGGCGGGCGCCGCCCAGCGGGCGATGCCAGGGAGTGGGGCCACACGCACGCACGCAGCGCACACAACGCACACGCGCACTTTTAGGTCGGCGGCGCAGAGGGTCCTCCAGCGCGGGCAGCAGACGGAAGCACGAATTGCGATCGAGCATCGTCGAGAAGCACAGTGCACGGGACGTCGCACACCGTGAAGTGCGAACAAAGGGTGGTGTGCAAGAGGGACTGTCGCACGCACGCACACACACACACACACACACACGCACACACACACGCACACACACACACACACACACACACACACACACACACGCGCACACACACACACACACACACACACACACACACACACACACACGCACGCACACATGCGCGCTTCCACAAAGGCCGATTGGGCGTCGCTTGGGGGGGGGGGAGAAAGGTGCATTGTTCGGGCCCTTGGTGCCCCCTCTGGGACCCTCCAGGGCCCCCTTTCTGCAGCCCTCGCTGCCCCCCCGTTTATCGGCTACACGCCAGAGTGACCCTGGGTTTATGTTGCTCCCATCGTACTCAAGGACCACATCCCAGACATAATTTCGAGCACCCGGAAAAGTGTCGAAAGAGTGTCGAAACAGGGTCGGACGAGTGTCTCCCAGGGCCCGACACATGAAAACTCTCGAGTTTCGGTACCTGTTTGGTGCTCGAAATCCCACCAGCCCTCTGGGCGTGAGTGGTTTAGCGCGCTCTCTCTGTCCTGAACCCCCCATCTTCCCCTTCGGGGAGGGGTTTACCCCTCCCCCTACCCCCTCCCCCTGGGCCTGGAGAGGGGCTCCCGCGGGTCGCCAGGGGGGTCTTTTTCGACTCCTGGGAGGGTCAAAAAACGACGACCCTCACGAGGATTGTGGCCCCGACGGGGGGGCCGAGTTTGGCCCCTCTCCTCTTCTTTGAAACCAAAATCATTGATTTTACTACGGTTTTGGCCCCATATTGGCCTCCTGAGGGGGCCGCGCTCATCTTCCTTCATAGCAAGATCATTTGCTCAGGCTTCCGTTCGAGGCCAGACGACGATGTGTTTTTACATACAGTGGCGCCACCGACCGGAGCGAGTGGGCAGGCAAGCAACGAGTCACAATACCTTCCACACCCGAGTGTGGCTTCGGCCACACGCACTGCTCAAGGCGAAAAATGGGCGGGCGTGGTGGGCGCCTTGAGCCCATACAGTTAAGGCGGCCCGACCCACTCATGCTCCGCAAAACGCGTTAGTATAACTGCAATTGCTCAGGCTTCCGTTCGAGGCCAGACGACGATGTGTTTTTACATACAGTGGCGCCACCGACCGGAGCGAGTGGGCAGGCAAGCAACGAGTCACAATACCTTCCACACCCGAGTGTGGCTTCGGCCACACGCACTGCCAAGACAGCACCGCCAAGCTAGAAAATGCCATACTTGCACGAGTGCCAACTGGCTCCGCCGGGACTTAAGCAACAGACAGGAACCTGTCAAATTTCTGAGCGGTTCGCGCAGCAATTATGTCCCAGAACCGTTCGGCGATGAAACTGCAAAGCGGGGCTGGATATGGTTCGGCAACTTTAATCCAAAACACACCGTCCTGACGCTTGCCGACCAACTGATGGTGCGGCTCGCCAGTGCGGGCACACATTCTGCGGCTACCGAGGCACCTGCGAGTGGCGAGCCCAGAGAGATCGACGAGGTACGATACAAACGTGGTGGACTTCTTAAAAGGTCCAGCCCACATGCAGAAATCAGTGTACACGCTGCTGACATTCTTCCGTTTCGTAAGGGCAACGATTGAGTTACACAGCCACAGGCGCGAGGTTCGCGGATTCTCCAAAGACCAGGGGATCCGTCGAAGGATGGCCTCACGACACAAGCGGCATGCGAAGCGAGTGAGATTATTGGCAAGCGCCACTTTGTGCTGCAGGGCGGCTGAGAGGTTCGGGAGCCCCCACGGCCACGCGTCACTCCTCAGCGGCGGCGGCCCGCCTCCACGATCGCGGATGCGGGAGTAGGTCTGGCACGGCAGCGCGACGCGAAACCCGATGATGAGGCCTCCAGCGAGCCAGCCCAACAGCAAGTTCTGATTCTTGCCAAGCGTCAGGTCATAGGCGTCACCGAACGAGATGTCCCACCAGAGCACCTGCAGCCCTTCATGTGCAGCAGCACGCCCCAGCCTGCCCGAGCCGGAGAAGATCTCCACGAAGACGGGGACCCTCAGGGGCACGCGCAAGGCTGGCGTCGCCCGGCCGCAACGTCGGCGAGCAAGTCGGCGCAGCGCAGCGCGTGGGCACGGAGCGGGGCGGTCAGGCGCTCGAGCACCTCGCCGAGCCTCGCCCCCTTCTCGTAGCGGCGGAGGCTGCTGTGGGCGCGCCAGCGGCCGCGATGGCGGATCTGATCCAGCGTCCTCGTGCCGGTCGCCGCGTCGCGGCTTGCGCCGCCGCGGCGCAGCTGGTAGCGGCAGACCACGCCCGCACGCCGAAGCCCCAGCGCCTGCACCGCCCTGTCGAACGCCTGCCCCGCCTGGGTGCTGCTGATCGTGAAGAGGGGCGGGGCCGCAGCAGCCCCCGCAGGCCGCTTCAGCACCGCCTGGCGCCACTGCGGCCCGAAGCGCGCCTCCAGCACGGCGCCGAGCGCTGGGCCGAGAGCCGCCTGCCGGTCCAGGTCCAGGAGCTGCGCCTGGTCGAACTCCTGGGTCTTTGAGGCCACCCCGCGCTCGCGGGCGTGCAGCGTCAGCGACCAGCTGCCGCCGGCCCGCGAGCCCGCCACCGGCGGCGCGAGGTCCCGCGCGCGGAGGGTGAACGGCTCGTTCGGGCGGTAGTACATCTCGAACGTCAGCCAGGTCACCAGCCCCTCCTCCCACAGGCCGTGCGCCCACATCCACATCACGACCACGCACATCACCTCGTACGGCACCCCGAGCCTGGAGCCTGCAGGCGCCAGCCGCTACCAGCCCTTGAGCGCGCGGCGGCTCCGCGCCATCCGCGCGCCGCCCGCCTTGCTCAGCGCCGACTGGTGGAACAGCACCGAGGCGAGCATCCGCTGCCCCAAGCTCACGTGCGCGCCGTCGAGGTACATCTCGTCCAAGTACTGGGAGAGGGTCTGGTCGGTGTCCAGCTCGCCCTCGGGCATCAGGCGGCCATGGCGATTCAGCCAGCGCTTGAACGAGGCAAAGTCGTCTTGGTACAGCCGCAACGTAGCGGGGCGAACCGAGTGAGTCTGGCAAACGGTCAACCCCTCGGCCGCGGTCGCGGCCGCCCGCCGCCTCGCCGCCTCCTTCACGCGGGCCTGCCCGGCGCGCGGCGCAGCTGCTCGCGCCGGCGCCCGCGGCGCCCGACGGGACACAGCCGCCGGCGCGCTGCTGGGAGCGGCCCGCGAAGGAAACGCCGCCGATGAAGATGGGGTCGAAGCGGCTGGCGTCCGCGTCTGGCTGCTCCTCCCCGAGGGCCGCGAAGCCGACCCAGTCGGCGGGGAGCCGGTCGACGGCGACGCTCGCAGCAGCATCGCCTCCTGCCGCGGGGCGCGGCCGCTGGGCAGGCGCGGGCTGCCCAGCCGAGCGAAGCCACTCCAGCTCGTGAGGCTTCGAGAGAGACAGCGGCTGCGGCACTGACGGCACTGCCAGCCCTCTCGAGGGCCCGTCAGCCACGTTCCACTCTGAGGGGAGCCACCGGCAGTGCAACGCGCACCCAGTGGCCAGACAGAGAGCAGCAACGGACTGGGTGACCTTGAGCATCGCCCTCGAATCAGACCGCCCCTTCGAGACAGCGCAGGCAGCGACGAGGGCGTCCCCCAGGACCGCGATCCGCCGCCCGAAGTTCTGAACATTCCTCAGGGCGTGTCGGAGCGCATATAGGATAGCCCGGCCCTCGAGGATAGGCATCGGCTCCTCAACGTTCCACTTGTACCTCCCGACGATCTTCCAGTCACGTCTTAAGAGCTTCAGGGGTACCTCACGAAACACGGCGTCACGAGAATCGCCGAGCCCGGAACCTAGGACGGCGGCGGTACTGCCAGCAGGCGGCGGCCCCCCATCAACATCCCAGAGACCTCCGCACCCGTTGTCGTGCACTCCAGACAGCCACTGCGCCTCGGGGTCGTCGGACACGGCGGCAGCGGCGGCAGCCTGAAGTCGCGGAGGAAGACGCGCACCCCGAGAGAAACGCCACCGCCCGCAATGTCTCCCAAGCGCCCGGGCCTCCTCAACAGAGATCGGCGACGAGCAGACTCCCAAACCAGTTGGGGAAGCGTCGACGGCGTACAGCGACGGCCCCCACGAGGCCTTCAGGTTGCGCCACAGCAGCGGCGCGATCCCCTCCCAGATCGCGAGCTCGTTGATGACACTGGGCCACAGCGGGGCCTCCTCGGAGTAGAAGCGGCGGATGAACGCGAACAGCGTGTCGAAGACCGAGAGGCTTTCCCGTCGGACCAGGCTGATAAACCCCATGTGCCCCACAAGCCTCTCGAGGATATTCCCAGAGATGCGGCCACGACGAAGCACGGCACGGACGCACAAGCGGGCCCTCCAGACACGGGCCCGGGTAGGCCTCAGGACAGCGGCACGACAACTGATATCCCATCCCAAGACGGTGCGGTCCCCAGCGAGATCCTCTCCGGGCGAGTCGACATCGGCGGTCACGACCAACCCCGCCTCCCTGAAACCCTCCACGACGGCGGACGCGAGGCGATGCACCTTGGAGGCGACGGTCGAAATAGCCACGAAGTTGTCGACATACTCGAGATGGCAGGCCCCCGTAAGAGAGGGGATGACACGACGATCCTGTAACCTCTCCTCGGGTTGTCCTCCACACCGCTCGACCAATCTCTCATGCACACGTTGACACCGCCACAATGCCCAAGTCCACCCCATGGGGCACACGCGAAGTCTTGGGTTTACCCACGCCCCGTCGCGCACCGGCATCCCGTCGATCTCAGTCAAGCCGATATCCCGAGCACGGACGCGCCTAAGGGCGAACAGATCCCGCAACTCGACAGGCAGCTGCAAATGGTAGAATGCATTGGACAGGTCAGCTTCCGAAATATAAAGCGTCTCGTCTTCACCGACTTCGAGGTTCCCAAGGGTCTCACCAGTACAAAGGGTCACATTATCAGGCTCACGAAACCAAACGTTGCTGTGACGACAATCGCAAACGAGTCTCAATCGCTGATCCTTTTTCGGAACACAGAAGAATTCCACGGACTCTCTGCCGCGGTCGTAGGCAAAATCTAGCAGGCCGCTGCGATGAAGCCGCGAAACAAAATCGCTCCACACACGCGGTTGGCGAAGAGCTGGGTCGGAATAGGGCGCCCTCACGCCGCGCATCTTCCTCCTCTCCAGCGCCGGTCCCGCAGGTAGCACACTATCGCGGACGAACTCCGCGACGCGCCTGCGCCCGCCTGCGCCCCACAAGTCCGCGAGCGGAACCGCATGGCTCCCCACGGACGGCAGCGAGAGCAGATCGGGATTGTAGTTCCCCAGCTTCACGTCCTCGTCGGAGCCGTAGAAGCCAGGCGCTCGAAGCCTCCGCAGAGCTTCCGAGGTGTCGACGCCTGCCGGTGGAGCCCCCAGCGCTCCAACTGAGTCGCGCACGTGCTCCATGATGCGCTGCTGCATCAGCGACAGAGGCCCACCACTGAGTTGACCCTCTCCGCCCGGCACAACGTCAGGAGAGTGATGCAGTGAATTTAGGGCGACAGCCGCCCTCCGAACGTCGAGATCGCGAGCGTGACGCTGCTGAACCCGCTGGCGGCATCCTCGCGACAAAAAATCCACCACGGTCAGCACATACAGATGAGACTGGCGGTACTGGCAGAGGAAGAGGATTGCGAGCAACCAGACGTGCGGGCTCGTCACGACCCAGAAAAGATCGTTTGAATTGACCATGCGAGGGCGCCCCCCGGTCGCCTGGCGACCGGGGGCCACAAAGGGGGCGCTCCATGCCCCCTCAACCTTGTCCGTCCTTCTTGCCCTTCTTGAGAGCCTCCTTCTCTTCACGAGCCTTACGGAGGTTCTTTGCCAGGGCAGCTTCACGCTCTCCTTCCTTGCGCACAAACTCCAACAAGTCAGGGCACACCATCAAGCTGGAAGAAATCCGAGTCGAGCCCGCGAAGTGCGTCTGCTCCTTGATCGATAGCTTCCCGCTCTGATTGGCCCCTTCACGCTCCCTCACCTTCTCCGGGTACGAATACTCGATCGTCTGCATGCGACCGAAGATGGCCTCGCAAGCCTGCAAGTTCGTGCCGTCGCACTGGTCAGAGAGCAACCACAGGCGGATGTACTGCGTGCACTGGAAATGCTCCTGCACGCACCACTGGGTCGGCTCGAGCTTCGCCACCGCCCGAAACCGATCGTGATGCCCGTCGATGCCCATCCCCTCAGTGTTGATGAACTCGATGCACCAGAACGTCGTCCGCGGGCCTGTCACCGGCCAGCCGCGCCCGAAGTCCTCCTCACGAATGCGTGCAGCCATGACCGCCCACGTCACCTCGCGGCGGGCGCCCGTACGCATCACGGGCATCATGCGAGCGTCTGCGGCCACCGTGCGCCCCATGAAGTCCTCCAGCTCGGCCGCCGGCACCTCCTCAACGAACAGGGCACCCCCGTCGGCGAGGATGTGGAGGTCGCGCCCGCGCACCGCAGCTGCCGTCGCCACGTGCCCCGGCACTTCGTCACCGTACCGCACGTCCCCGAGAGACTGCGCCGCCCGCTCAGGCTCCGCCGGCTGCTCGCAAGCAGCGCAGGCAGAGCAGGAGCGCGGCGCCTCCGCACGCCCCTCAGGAGCGGCGCGCGGCGCCTCGGCCGCCACCGCGGGGCAGACCAGCGCGGGGCACGCTGAGCCGCTGACTGCGGCTGGCGGAGGGCACGTGAAAGAAGAACAGGCAGGACAGGTCGGCGAGCAGCCTGGGCACTCCGGCGCAGCAGGGCACTGGTGGAGGTACGCGATGGTCGCGCCGACCGCCCCTCCCAGCACCAGCCGCAACATCCACGCCCTGCGCGGACCGCTCCCTCCGTTGCACCTCGAGCCCATACAGTTAAGGCGGCCCGACCCACTCATTCTCCGCAAAACGCGTTAGTATATCTGCAATGAGTTTACGAAGGTTTTGGGCTTATTTTGTCCTTTTCAGGGGGCAGCGCTCCTTTGCGCTTCAGAGGAGGTCGCAAGAGGCCCCAAGATGGCCCCAAGAGGCCCCCAGGAGCCTCCCAAGAGGCCTCCAAGAGGCCCCCAAGAGGCCCCCAAGAGGCCCCAAGAGGCCTCCAAGAGGTCCCCACGAGGCCGCCAGGAGGCCCCGAGAGGCCCCAAGAAGCCCCCAAGAGGCTCCCAAGAGGCCCCCAAGAGGCCCCCAAGAGGCCCCAAGAGGCTCCAAGAGGCCCCCAAGAGGCCCCACGAGGAGCCCGAACGACTCACACCAGGACGAGGGGCCCGAACGACTCACACCACGAAGAGCCCGAACGACTCACACCACAAGGAGGGGCCCGAACGACTCACACCAGGACGAGGCGCCCGAACGACTCACACCACGAGGAGCCCGAACGACTCACACCACGACGCGGGCCCCGAACGACTCACACCACGAGGAGCCCGAACGAGTCACACCAGGAGGAGGGGCCCGAACGACTCACACCAGGATGAGGGGCCCGAACAACTCACACCACGAGAAGCCCGAACGACTCACACCAGGACGAAGAGCCCGAACGACTCACACCACGAAGAGCCCGAACGACTCACAGCAGGAAGAAGGGCCCGAACGACTCACACCAGGACGGGAAACCCCAAACGACTCAAATCACGAGGAGCGTTTCCTCCCCCTCCTCCTCCGCCTCGTCCGTTTCCCGCTCCCCCCACAAGGGGGATGTACAAGGAGGCCGTTCTCGGCTCCCAAGAAGCCTCCAAGAAACTCCCCAGAGGCCTTCAAGCGGTCCAAGAGGCGCCAAAGAAGCCCCCAAGAGGCCCCCAAGAAGCGTCAAGAGGGCCCACGAGGCCCTCAAGAGGCTCCCCAGAGGCCCCAAAGAGGCCCCCAAGAGGCCCCAAGAGGCTCCAAGAGGCTCCCAAGAGGCCCCACGAGGAGCCCGAACGACTCACACCAGGACGAGGGGCCCCAACGACTCACACCACGAAGAGCCCGAACGACTGCTACTGCGTACGAGTACTACTACTGGTACTGTTACTGTTCACACGACGATTCCTACTTCTACTATATCTAGAGCTACTACTACTTCACCTCGGACTACTCATGTCATCACTCCATCTACTACACCTATACCTGCTAGTCATACTATGACTACGACTCTGACTACTACTACTACTGCTACTCCTCCTACTACGACACATACTAATACTATTTCTACTAGAACTCATACTACTACTATTACTACTCCTACTACTATCATTATGACTCCTACTACAATACCTACCATTACTACTACCACCACTACTACTCGAGCGAAGCATGCCGACCGTGGTGTGCTTCAGGCGTGTCTCCGCGTGCCCTCGCACATATCCCCTGTGTTTTCTTCATCCTGCTTCTTCTTCCTCGAAGTACTCATGTCATCACTCCACCTACTACACCTATACCTGCTACTACAACTATGGCTACGACGATGACTACTACTACTACTACTACTACTACTACTACTACTACTACTACTGATACTCCTCCTACTACGACACATACTAATACTATCTCTACTAGAACTCATACTACTACTCGTACTATTCCTACTTCTACTACTATTCTGACTACTACTACAATACAACTACCACCACTACTACCACCACTACTACTCTAGCGAAGCATGCCGACCGTGGTGTGCTGCAGACGTGTCTCCGCGTGCCCTCGCACATATCCCCTGCGCGTTCTTCCTCCTGCCTCTTCTTCTATCGTTCTACATCTATTTTGTGGGGGGGGGCCCACGAGGGGGAACAGGAGGAGGGAAAGAAGGCGATGGGAGCCAAGACAGAAGACGGTCCTCCTCGAGTCCTACACGTAACCGACTCAGACGACTCACGCGACGGCGACCTCTCAGACGATGATGGCGGCGACGACGCCGACGACGACGACGACCATGCTTACGATGACAGCGCCGACTTCGACGACGACGATTGAATGGACGACGGCGTCGACGATCCAGCGATCTTACCTGTACAGTTCTGCAGTGCGCACGCGGCACAAGTGACTACCCTGCTCAGGCTCGCAGCTCTGACCTGCACCTGCAAGGCAGGTTCGCCCATCAAGTCGGGCGCGGGCAGCAGGCGGCAGCTTCGGAGGGAAAGGTGAAAGAGGAGCAGAGCTAAGGAATCACGGAACTCAGAGTGTGCACGTCCTGGACCAGAATGCAGGTGGCGTGAGTACTTGGGGCCCCTCGCCCTGGTGTGAGTCGTTCGGGCCCCTCCTTGTGTGAGTCGTTCGGGCCCCTCGCCGAACGACTCACACATCGAGGAGGGGCCCGAGCGACTCTGACCAGGAGGGGGGGCCCGAACGGCTCATACCAGGAGGAGAGCACCGAACGAATCCACTGCACCGAGGTAGCAGCCACACCCACGCAGATAACTGCCTGATCTCCCAGTGTGGCACAGTAGCGATACCACCCATTCCTGTTGCAGTGATGTATCACAAGGTACTCCCAGTACTGGACGTGAGACCATAAACCATCTCAGCCCACTGTCGGACACCCGAAGGCACCCAGCAATCACCAAGACTCAGAGGCAATAGGGGCGAGTACAGAAACCAGCACCATCACCTCAGCAGAATAACCAGCACCATTACAAACTATGGACCAGCACCAGAGAACCCACGAACGACAGCTCAGTTGAGGCAACCTCCCGTGTCTCGACTCGCGCTACCCAGAGTCATAGTGGTAAGTAGTGCACTCGACAGTCGTGCCATACAGAGCATACACCATCTGAGCCAAATGCCGAACGTGTTGCCCCATCCCAGCTATTCGGGCGTCCAGACACGCGTGGCTCTCTTGCCTAGTAGGTGCAGGACTGACCCATCACTGAGTACAGAAACCCGCACTCTCACCAGAACAGAGTAACCAGCACCATCACAAGAGTACACTAATCAGCACCAGAGAACCCAAGTAAGGGGTTCAGCCGAGTGGAGTATAAGTCCCACTAGCAAGCTGCTTCCTATAGTACAATCCACCTCAAGCGCCGGTCGCAGAGCAGGCTGCGGTGCTCAAGCGCTCAGGCAGCGCCGCAGCGAGAAATCTTGGTGATCGATGCCACAATGGCTACGGAAAACCGTGAGGGAATCGCAATGTCATCGGAGCCATACTCATTGACCTTACTACGATTCGGGCCACACTTTCGCATTCTGAGGGGGCAGCGCTCATGAAGACCCCCCTCGTCCTTCAAGGCAACATCATTCATTTCACGAAGCTGTTGGGCTCCATGCAGAGGCTCCACGACGTTTTCACGAGGCCCCCCGGAGGCTCCCAAGAGGCCTCCACGAGGCTCCCAAGATGCCCCGAAGAGCTCTCCAAGAGTCCCCGAGAGGCTCCCCCGAGGCACCCAAGACGCTCCTGGAAGCCCCTGGGGCGGCCAAGAGGCCCCCAAGACGCCCCAAACGCCCTCCACGACGCTCCCATGAGGCCTGAACGACTCACACCAG